ACTGTATTCTTGTAAATATGCGATTTATTGCAATCTTTCCTTTATCTCCCACATTCTCATTTGCTTACAAATTTCAGATAGCGTGTATTAACGCATATTATTATCATCATCGAAACCATTATTGTGACTAACTCTGGTGCAAATTTAAGATAAATAATAAATATAATTTTTTTTTTCCTGAAATTACAGGGATAAAAATTAATTATGAATTTCTACTAAAAAACGTGGTTAGTAGAATTTTTCTTAGAACTTTTTATGATATTGAATTTGATACAACTATACTCTGTATAATTTTTTTATATAGGGTAGCGAAAACTTCTGGCGATAAGGTATTTTCTTTGAAACGAATGAATGTATTCTGTCTTTTTTAGAGGACATGTCAAATTTATGTGTCGTCAGCGTTTAGCGTAGGTACCGCTTTTTCTACTGATTTTTTTAAATGGCAACGTAGGTCGAGTCTTTTCAATAATAGTATCTAATATAATACAGTCCCATTCATCACCCTAAATTACTTTGTTGCCATACTTTTTTGCTACCCTGTATGTGTAGGATAAAAAAACAATATTAATTTGATACAGTCTGATTTATCACCCTACAATTTCATAATTATATATTCATTCGTATATATGTTATGTATATTGTACTTTTAATCCTTAGGGAGTAAAAGGACCTTTTTAGTCCCTATTAGTTCAGTTGAAGGCAATAGCATATTTTTTGTTTTGTAATCTGTGCGTAGATAAGGTAATATCCATGTGGGTGTTGAAAAAATATTTTCCTACGACCACTTAGGAAAGTGACAATGAATAAGAATTTACTTTTCACCCGTGTGCGAATATGCTACTTTTCGCATCAGCTGTCATACTAAAATCGATATGATTGTTAAATTATTGAAATTGTTGTAAATTAGATCCTAGATATTTATCTTTAACAATTATTATTCAAATAATTTTAAAATACTAAGTTATTTTTGCTTTTTATTCTGGTTAAACACATAACCGATTAGATTATTCAATTGACGCAAGGCCTATAAGCTCAGGTGGTAGATTATCAAACTTTATCAATTTTGCCATTTGAGACCTGGCGAGCGACCTCGTTCAAATCCTTGCGGAGGCAGAATTTTTTTTTTTAGTTTTTTTTTTTTTTTTTTTTGTTTAGAAAATACGAAAATTTAATAAATACTATTATTGTTGATAATTTTTTTAAAATACATGTGAATTATTATAATAATACATCACTTGTGTGAAAAGTGATTTTCCACACTCGGCTTGTGCCTCATGCGACAATATTTCCCACTCGTGTGAAAAATGTCACTTTCCACACTCGTAATGTAATGTACTATTTTTCTACACCCACATAGATATCAGCTATTCTACACACAGTCTACAAAACGTAAAAGTATGCCATTGAGTATAACTGAACGAATACATTTCATATCCATTCTACCTACTAAGAACACTGCACAAATATGAGATTCACCAATTACAGTTTATATTTTGTTCACCCGGCTACTATTATTTATTTAAATTTTAAATAAGTGACAATTCTGTCAAACTAATTGTCAGTATATTTTTTAGTTATTGAGATTAAATATAAATTAAAATATCGTCTATATTTACAAATAAATCATAAATTTTAAAAAACGTTATAAAATCAATTTAATTAGGTACTAGTATGAAAATTAAAATATAGTGTGTGGCGATGGAGCAGATACTAGGGTATTTGGGTGTCCTGCAGACGTCCCGGGTTCAATTCTAGGACTGGAGACTAATTAAATAAAATCTTTTTTTTTCAAGTTTATTTTATTATATAAATTAGTAAGTCATTAATTATTTAAAATTAGTTATTTTATCTTAATATTCTCAGACGATTGTCTTCGTGCGTTATGGCATTATGGGCCATCATATCCACTCTTGTTGCAAAATAGTATATTATGCAACGATCATGTAATAACCATTAAATGAGAGTTGCATACGCTATTTTTTCTACACCCGATAAATAATCAAGAACTATAAATATATGTATATTTGTATTGAACACAATAACAGTAGTTACTCGTATTTCTATAAAAAATTATACAAAATTGTAATTGATGGTTTTACCTCGGGTATTGATATTCCCATAGATTTTTGGGGCAAAATATTTTGTACTGCATTTTCTGCTTTCTCCGATATGTGTAGAGAAGTCGATGTTAAGTCTTCTATATCGCTGATATGACATTTTGATAATATAATTATCGAAGTTTAGCTATCTACGAAATTTAATACGTAGTGATTTTGACAACTAAAACAATTACATATAGAACAAACGTCAAATGCACAGCATGCTTGATTGAAAAATTATGGGTTTCTATTGATTAAAAATCTGTATCGTTATGAAAAATCTATATCATAATGGGTATCATTATGAACCGGATTATGGGCATATGAGTATATTATTATAATACGGGTGTAGAAAAACTACTATTAATAATTTGTTAAAAATAAATATCTAGAATGTAGGTACAAATATCAATATTCACGATTTAATCATAAAATCTATTTTACTATTAATAGTGACATCCATTGCGTTCGGTCTGCCAAGTTCCTTTAACTCCTTTAACACTTTTTACTCCAAACGACCCTTTTAGTGTTCGGTTTAGACCGATTAGTGACAGTTTAACACGCTTAAATGTCATTTAAAAGCACCTTAAAAAACTCCGCTTTTGTCCCGCTCCAACCCCTGACTATCCGAACTCGCCTATTACATGGATCAAAATAGAAATTACGCGTTTGACATATTTGACAGCTGATGCGGAAAGTAGATATTCACACACGGGTGGAAAGTAGATTCTATCCACACGCGTGTGATATAGGGCACTTCCAGCAAGACTTAATAGTGCGATATATGTCATTTTCCTAAGTGGTCGCAGGAAAATATATAATTATTATTTTTTATTAATTAGTTTTTTAGCTTTTTGAGCCTCTGACGATACTCATTTGTTTCACTTTTACAGTCATTTAGTCTGATAGCTTTATCATTTTAAAAATTAATTATAAATTTAAAAGAGAAGCAAGAGAAACAACAATCAAAATGTACCTATGTGAAGATTTTTCATCAGATTCATGTACGCCACCAGAAATTGCTACAATAATTGCCGAAAATATTACTAATAAATCGGTGCACATAATTTCACACATTTATTGTACTCGCATCATAAATAACTATTTTAATAACAAACGTTATCTAGATTCTACTTTAATCTCTTTATTAGCCAGGTATTTATACCTAACTACTAGATAATATCTAATAATAGCTATTATTTGTAAATTGCACGTATTTCGTAATGGCTATTTTTAAAAAAGAGATAGATAACTAACATCCCAATACCCAATTTCAATTTGAAGTGGTTGAACGAGAGTGCTCGGAGTGCCGACTAACGTCAGACCGACGTGGGTGCGGTGACAGGCATCCTCTGTAATTCAAAATACGTTTTAAAAGATTTTTTCTGTTAAAAACTCGCAAGGTCAATTTTTTTTACCGACATGACTAACGCGGCAGACGTTTTTATTGTTGCCGCTGAACTATTTTATATAAAATGCAAGCATGCAGAAGGTGTGCAAAATATTCCAATAAGCGAATTTTAACAATACTGTTTTGTAATTTGAGCATTGGAATACCTACCTAATAAGCGTTTTAAAGAATGTAATAGATTCAATAACTGTGTAAAAAACTGGTTTTTATTTTAATATGTATAACATTGAACACAATATCGGTTTTCAAATAAGAATGATAAATTTGATATCACTGAATAAAGTTACTTAGTTTTTTTTTAGATCCAAGTATGCACAAAAATCGAAGACAAATTACCTATACAATATTCTTAAAATACAGTTTTTAACAGTACCCGTATCCCACATGACTAAATTAATGTCACCAGCTTAATTTCAAATGAAATAGATTTCAAGTAAAATCAAGTATAATTCCGAAACTATATATGTGAAAATAAATAAAACTAGCAGAATTATAAAATCACAGCTCAAGAAGAATTTTGCAAATTATGCAAATTTAGATACATAATTTCCAAAGAAACAACAAAATGTTCTCAAAAAATTCTCACCTCCTGTGGTATTACCCTTGAAAATTTCACAACTCTACATACTATTAGTGTGATATAATTTGTGTTCAACTGACAGTTAGCTTTTAACAAAAATAAACTATATGTCATTGAATTTGATACAGATGTTTTTAGTTTGTATTAAATATTGTTTTCAGGTCGTAAAAAAGTAGTTTAAAGGTGTGTATGTTTAAATGAATACAATCTTGAAAATAATAGAAATAAAATGTTAATGAATACTTATAACCTCTATTTTTATAAGTCTACTGTCATTGTCATTGGATACAAATTACGTCAACACTAATATAGCGTGTTCACATCAATCTTGTCTTATCTGTAGTGTCACTTTAAAATCCAGTTATCATGGCTCAACCTTTTTTTTTTCGATGCTCTTTACCTATCTATGGTTTTTGAGATCTCTGCGAGATGTTTCACATGCGATGTATAGTCAGCGCTGACGATCAGTTCGTCTTATTGTTTCAATCCCTTTCAGATGTGAAGTGGACCGTCAGCGTACCGTCATCATGGTGCTTCACAAAATTGCTTTTTTTTTTTCTTCCTTTTTATAATTTTTTCAGCGACAACACTGCGTTCTTTTCTATGCAAATACATTTTTGCAATTGATCGAACGCATGCATGTGAACACAAGACGGTTGACTGATTATCAGTGCATCCGTATCATCGGGTCTGACTATTAGTTTGTGAAATAGCTCTGATGCTTTTCTAAATACAAAATCCAAATCTAATTGCATTAGAGATTACTTTATTTATGTAAACATTGATGTAAATAAAATGTTTGTCTGATATGGTCTATAAACGTGTACCTCTCAAAATATAGCTATTAATAAACACAGATCCAAAAATATATAATTAATTTTTATTAATTAGACTTTCTGTTTTGTTCCAGTTGGAATCATGGTTCAAAACGAGCAGCACGAAAAAACCACCCGGCCAGAGACCCACGTCCGCTCTGGTAGCGCGGCCGAATTCGGAGACAGATATCGTAGACGTTGACGAAGAAGATCAGAGAATCGACGCGATGGTCGAAAAGGAAGTCAACTCTAAAATAGAGGAACTGCTGGTAAGCCAAACAATATATTTGCATTTGTTAAAATGTTTTCCACAAATTCCACTTTAAATTTATACCAGTCAAAAGAATTGTAAATCTTATGACTTTGACTTAATATTTTCAGAGCGATATGAATCTAACCGACGACAAGAAAAAACCGTTACGGATCATGGCCCTGGAACAAAAGAGAGAAATGCTCAAAATGCATTGCAAGAAGAAGGGCCAACAGGAAACCGGAAGCCGTTTCAACGATCCAGAAGACTACTACAAATATCTCGATCAACATATCAATTCCGAATACCCGCAACTGAACAAATGCATGAATTGCATCGAAAGCCTAAGAGTGGCGCTAGCGAACAATCCCATTAGTTGGGTGGTGAAGTATAGCACCATTGGCGGCTTGCAGAAGCTCATACAGGTGTTGGATATTGGTGTTAAAAAGTAAGTTATTTCGTTAAATGTATCGTCACCAGATTCAATTGCCATACAATCCTCTAGCAAAGTCGCAATTTTCTCTAACTTCCTCTGTCATATTCAGTTCTGTTCTCAAATTAAATCATCCAGTTTGATGCGTGGACTTTTCTTAAACCGTCTGTTACATCGTGTTTCTAACTCAGTTTGGACCTTTCCTGTCGGTCGTGCTATAAATATGTTCTCGACTGGATTGCTCCAGAAAACTTTATGATCGCTATGGGTATTAACTCAAAAAAGAAGTAACATCATCCAGATGTTGTTGCCTTAATAAAATCAAACATTATGATAAAATGGAGGCATGATTGGTCACAATATTGTATTACTGATTCCAATTAGTACATTAAAAGACATATTTTAAAATCACTCTGGTTTAAAAATCATGTAATTCCAAGACACTACATTATATCTTTAATTAGAACCAGATTTAGTCATGCTAGTTATCCCAAACACTTGTTTAAAATTAATACAGAAGCAAATTGATATTGTGACTTTTGTATAAAATAGACAGTACATTCAAATATTCTTTATATGAATCTTACAAAAATATCATTTCATCCCTCTTAAATATTGAAACAACGAACTATTTTGTTCTGATAATTTTATCAATTGAATCTTAAAATTTTTTGAGACACACCAATATTCGTTTATAATTAGAATTGTTCCTCTTTCCTTTTCTCTATATTATACCTATTTGTTTACCATCTTTTTTTTGTGTCTTCGGCATCAACTACTAAGGTTATCAGCCTCGTGTTCTGTGTAGGCTTTGTTACTGTTTCCCAGCGCCACTTTAGGAACATCACTGTTAATTAGAACCCAACAGTGAATGGTTGAGTGGGGAATCCTACCAAGGCATCAGAATTAATTTTAAATAATTAAATTAAATAAAAAAATTCCGACCAACCGTGGGATTCGAACCTGGGACCCTTGGATCCACAGGCAGAGACTCTACCACTGAGCCACCCACCCCCTGTTTACCCTCTTATCAAGGCCTATTTTTGTTTGTCTATTTGTTAAAAAAAAAAACATGATGATGGGTCCCTGTAGGAGAAACGAGTGTCTGCCATGTATTGTTTTTCTTCTCACACCTTCTTGTTATGAAATATTCTGGGGTAGTTCTGTAGTCTGAATAAAAGAGTATTGCAGTAAAAGTGGGGATATAACGTCACATTCCATAGGCGCACTTTGCACAAATCATCTTGTAGAAAATTTTATTAGCTCTTATTTGTGAAAGAGATATAAAGGAGTAATAAAAAAAAAAAAAAAAAACGGTAATTTAAATATTTACCACCGATTTACACTAAACAAAAACATTCTCTATGTCCTCTACAACCCCTTATCGGCCGTTTATTGACTGAATTAAACAGTAAACTTGAATCTCAATTTCCCGATTTCTTTTCTCTTTCAGCAAAGACAATCGACTTCAAAACGAGTGCTTAAAGTGTTTAGAAAAATTCATGAATAATACTACGGGTTTGAAAGCGTTCTTCAAACATACTAAAGGCCACGTGAGCGTCGCGAGGTGTCTCGACCATGAAAAACCACATGTGATGATACAAGCTTTAAAAGTAAGTTATTCCGCTTATTCGATAACTATATTTTTTATTTCTTCGAAACCGTTCTGGTATCTATCGGTTCTGTTTTTTTCGATAGATTTTGGCACCCATTTGCTTCTTGGACGAGAGCGATGACGAGGTCGGTGTGAAGAAGGTGTTGAAAGCCATAACGGAGGTGGGTGAAGAGAAACGTCGAGAAAGGTTCTTGCCGATGGTGAATGGTATTACCAAGACCGATAATGCTGAGTTACAGGTAAGATATTCAATATCATCAATATCTATTGCAATTTTAATAGTCTTACTGATATCTATTTCTCAATTTTGGTCCCTATAAATACTGGTACCAAAGGACGTGTTTATTGAAAATCAGAAATATATATATATATATTTTTTTAATAGATACAGATTAAAATTTTGTACACCGAATAATTCTCTTTTACTGCCTAATCGCCGCAATTAATTCCTTTAAAATTGTCTCTCAATTTCTTTGCAGTTCCTCAGCAATTCGCGCGTTTCTCGGAAATTCCAGTAATTATCCTACAGTTCCAATAATTTCGCGACAATTTCACAACATATCCATGCCACTTCCAACAATTTTCCTTAATTTCTAAGATTTCTTTAAATTTGAAAATTTTTACTCACAATTTATCTATACGTGTACATCTAATTTCCTTTTACTGTCATTTTCCCACAATTCCTTTAAAATTGTCTGTCAATTCGTCAGCTATTTTCGAAATTCCCTGGCATTGCTTTGACAATTTCCACAATTTCTCGACAATTCCCATAATACCCCGCGAATCACTCTATCCCACAATTTTTCTTAATTCTCTACACTTGTAAACTTAATTCCGCGCGACCGCCATCCGCCTCGGTTCGCGTCTCGTGCGTTATTCACCTAATATCTTATTGGCTAATTTATAATGTTCAAGAGAGTAGTTAAATGTGTTTTTACCCTGTTGCTGTTTTGGTAATGAAATACTGAAATCCCTGATAAACGACAGTAATTAAAAGGTTAACTAACATCTTGTGAAGAGAGAACACTATCTTATTTATTTGACAAACTTTGATAGTTTTAGAATACAGCCTTGGTTTTAAAAATAGTTTTCTTGGTAAAACATTAGATTGGGTCTCATAATTATTAGATATTCATAGTGTTGGGGATGGTCAATTGACCATTATCAAAATTGACCCATCAAATTCGGACAAAATATCTGAAATAATCAAAAATATTTTATTTAAAGTACATATCAATACTACAGGATTTTCAAATTGCAAACACTGACACGGAGTTATTGCACACTCTGTGCATATTTATTTTAGTCAACTGACATGAAAAATTACTGGTCAAATCTATATGCAATTCACTTCTTTTATTTATCTTTTTGAACTCACTGTAAAAATTCGTCTCTTTGTAGGCCTGATGATGGCCCACAGTGGCCGAAACTAGTCACCATAATTACTGAGACATTTTTATAAAATAAAGTCTGTGATAAATGAGTTTTCTTTCCTCATTGAGAAAATAAATGAAGTACTCGACATAAAAATATGTTTTTTTTTTTCAATTTCGTTTTATGAAGCAATTCGGTTATTACTATTTTAATGAGAAATTTAACTCCAAATGTTATTCATGTTTGCGAAATATTTTCTATGGTAATCATTGGTGTAGCTCTAGCAATATCCTATGGGCGAGGGACAGCTATTCAACATGACTGAAATCTCGACCAAACTAATAAAACAATAATTTAAATTTCACAATCAAATTTTTAGTTGACGTTTAATTTAACACAAACTAGTGTGCTTGAACAAAATTATCAGCAAAATAATAAAAGAACAATTAAAATTTAGTCATCCAGTCTATGGTACGCACACAAAGAAAGCAGGTTGCTGCTTGCTAGTAACAAGCATTTATAAGCATCAATAATTAAGTCCGCTTTTAAATGCACCCGCACACAGACAAAACCGGTTGGAACTTGTTTCAAGCGCCGATCGGCGCTGAGAATTTACCGGAATTAATTTTTAATTCTTGGTCGCTGGTTGTCAGTGTCGGACGTGCATTCCCATGCATCGATTACGGATGTTGAATCTTAATTTCAGCGATTTTCCAACGAAATCCATTGTGGGATAAACGACTGAAGTCCCACAGCAACAGGAATATAGTGCAATGTTTTTACTTATATTTAATAAAAATATTGTAAACAAAATTAATTTTACTCACCTAATCATATTCTTTCTTCTGGGAGTTTTGGCTGCTTGTGCCAATTACACCACGTTTTTTGTTGACCGCATTTAATTTTTTTCCAAGATGTAGGCGAAGTTCTTTCACATATACTGGAAAAAGCGTTGGTTGTGTTGTTTAAACGATTGGAACAAACTTTTTGTTCCCGATTCACTGAATATACACATTACTTTGTGCATTGCGTCCTTAGAAATTTATTTTCCTTTAATAAAAAGTCTTCATCCTGAAGACAAACCAGACAAATTTTTAGTGTTGAAGTTGATTTTAAACTGGCCGAAAAACGGCATTCAATGTGTACCACTGAGATGATTTGTAAGCTCAGGTTTTCGGCTCCGGAAATAGATGCTGATTAACCTGCTTTCTTTGTGTGTGTAACTTTATACAATAAGTAGCATAGTAAATATCTCCAATTAAATAAGCCTCGCCAATTGGCAGCATTCGTTGGAGTCCAAGAGTACCATAGGGTCCCCCGAATAAAAAAATGTACAAAAATTAAACTCCCTATCCTCTAAAATCATAATAAATATATATTTATTGGTTGTGATATTTGTGCTAAAATAACCTGTTTTTATTTTTACCTATTTACTAAACATAGAATAAATGATCATTTTATATTTTATAATATGCATTTTAGAGGCTAGGGAGTTTAAGTTTAAGACAGCATAATTTGAGTCTAAATAATTTTTGACTAGAAACTGAAACTTTCTGTACTCTCTTAAAATGAATCGGTCTATTCGCTGATAATGTGATTATCAGTGACAAGATCTATGACCATCTCAGCCTCTGTATAGCTACGCCAATTTTTGCAATGTCATCCTAAATCCTATTCTCGTTTGTGAATATTGTGTTCCGTATTTATAATATTACATATATTTTTATTATTTTCACATGGGCTTTTATAAAATTTTTGTCTATACACTTTTCACAGATAAACTTCGTGCTTTAAAATCATTATAGGTACAAAAATTAAAATTAATTCAGTCTAAGAGTCTTGAGATATGCATTTAAAAATAACTTTTATAAATCAATATACCTAAAATAAGATTAGACGAAAAAGTCGATTTGAAAAAAAATCGGTAAATAAATTACAAAAATCACAAAATTAATTTAAATTACCCGGAGGGGTATTAAGAAATATTTTTCTGATTGGTTGCCACTGTGTTTATATGGGAATACCAAACCTTCTTACTTACATCATGTGTGAAACGAGCAATAATCTATCAAATATTTAGAACTTTCGTTTAGATCACACCACTGGTGGAATTCGTAATTAAAGAACGTTTATGTGAAATTTGTGAGTTCATCGGTAAATTTTCTAACAAGCTCATTTTCTAAGTTGGCATGCAGATGTTTCCCGAAATTACTGAGAGTGTTCATGTTTCTAAGAGCTAAGGGTAATAAATTAAACAGTTTGATGCCCTTGTAAATTACTGATTCTTTGTCCAAGGTAGATTTAGGTATAATCAAAGCTAAATCTCCAGAAAATCTATTATTATTTGCTTAAGCATCTTCATTTTTATATATTATGCTGGCAGTTTCTAAAATAAAAAGTGAAGTTACTGTTAAAATTGATGAGTTTTAATGAGTGGCTTGCAAAAGGCAGAATATTTTGCTTGACATAGTAGACGAACAACCCGTTTTTAGAGAATACATGTACTATATAACATTTTTTTGCTGCATACTCCTCAAAATTGTATTCAATACTTTTTACCTGAGCTCCGACAACACTGAAGCCTAATGGCCTATTGTATTTGACCCATATTAATTCATATCACCTACTCACATCCCCTTGTGATATTTATGTGACGGATCTATTTCATAAAATTACTTTGCAACTTTTCACTTTACACATTGCAAATTTTAATAAATTTGTTTCATAAAAAAAAAAATTGACAAGTAAAAGTAAAATTTTAAAAACAAATTTACACAATGAATATAAAAAATTAATAATCTGCAAAATTAACGATATTAGTTTATGAAAAACAAATATTTTTCACTTATCAATGTAATAGATCATCCTGTATACGATGTCTTATAGCGGTATCCAGGGAAATAGATGAGATGGACGTGTGATGAGAATTGTCATTGTATTAAACTTGATCTAATAAAAATATTTATTCTGAGTATTATTTAGAAGATTTCTAAACTATTCCTTACAATATGGCGCAGTCAGAGCAAAACGAACCAATTATCCAGATCAACTATGAAAAAGGAGATGAAGGTACCCAAGACAACATTATTTTTGGAAAAAATGAGTTGCATCAGCTAATGACAAAATGGATGATGTTTGCCACTTCAACTAAAGCAGATCCCATAAAAATTTCTCAATACGACGGTCAAGGTGAGAATCCTTCTTCTTGGCTCAGTTCGTATGAATATATCTGTTCATATAATAAATGGATTACTGATAATGAGAAAATTTTTAATTTGAGAAATCAGTTAAAAGGCATTGCATTAAAATGGTACGAAGATAAAATCCAAGATAGTATACTAAATCAATATACATGGGAAAATTGGAAACTTAGTTTTATCAAGATATTTGATGAAAATGTTGTTTTAAAATGGGAGAAAGCTTTGAATTATAAATATTACAATAGTAATATCCTGGAATACTTTTACGAAAAACAGAAATTAATTAAATGGGCAGATAATAACATTTCTGAACTTTCATTAGTGGCAATGATAATTCTGGGTCTGCCAGTCAATGTTCAGAAACAGTTAAGAGGAAAAATCATCAACTCCAAAGAAGAACTTCTTCAGCTGCTAAAATCCTTAATGATTGGTGAATATCCTGATAAACAGTGGCCAAGAAGAGATTTTCAAATGCAAGGTCAGCCAATAAGTACCAATAAAAAAGACATTAAATGTGAAACTAAAAATGTGTTTAATTCTAGTACTGTTGAATTTGAAGATCAAATAAATAATATTGAGATGTATTCTAGTTATTCACTAACAAGTGGAGATAATTTTGAGTATTTATTTTTAAATGGCCAAAAAGTGAAAGTACTGTTTGATAC